ATAGGAACGGCCACTGATTTGCGAGGGCATTGGAAAGTTTCTTCAAAATCTTTGGCCAGGAGACACACCTCCCATGGATCCGTGGTTGGTCTCATGTTGCCAGGGGGACCAGCCCTTGGTTCCATCAAATCAATCATCTAGACTGACCATTTCCTGCGGTGGGTTACATCGGCGACTGAGTACCAGAATTGATGAAATGGATTCCATGGAAACGATCGCTGTGGCAATCAAATTGCGTTGCATTGCAAGTTGCGACAGAGGTAATACAATACAGCATTCAGAGAGGGCTAGACGCAATGGCCATGCAAGTGCGATCATAGGTACTATTGTCATTATTGTCGCGCATCGATCAAGAACTTCTGCAGCGTACGTTGTCCTTGTTTTTGCCAGACTCTGAGAAACCAAACAGTGGTGTTCAGCAAGATGCACGAAGGACTGGACCTCGAGACCAACCCACGTGCTATTTAAGGTTTAAGGTGCCGGCCGACCATTTCGATTTCGCCGTCCCACTTTCCACCTGTCATCTTATGCACCCTATTCCTGACGATGCTTTGGCCATTGGTAAATTCTTGATGAGAAGGTTCATCAATTGCTACGAATACTACAAAGTATCTTCTTGCTCATCTCTGTAATCGACGCGCGTGGCAGGGCAAAACCTGAGACTTCACGAGTACCTTTGCATGTACCCTGGTAAGTACCCGGGCAAGACTTTGGCTGATCTGCGGGCCCTGCTCCTACCGTTCAACTTACCGGCCACGGACCCGCTGCGCTCCTGTTTCCAACAACCTTGATTGGTGAGGCATCTGCAGTCCATCATGACTCACAACCCCACCGCGCCTGACCAACCAAACGCCAGCCTGTCCTCTGGAAAGGCGTCGATCACTTTCTAGAATTTCCATGTGGCGCAAGACCCGCTATCGATGTAATATCCTGGACCACGAGCCATGGAACTTCATCCTTGACCGGGCTTACAAGCTAGCTCTAGATCCTTGTCTCTCTCTAAATTTGATCATAACAGCGAGCTCCTGTACATATGCTGCTCATAACATGTTCTCTGGAAGCGCATAGATTAGACACCTGATAGTTGGGAATAAAGTTACATCTCAAGAACATTCTTCCGGTTGCCAATGCGCCATGGTCTGCCTGACCTCAACCTTTAACTCATAATTGCCCTTCGCACATGCTTGGAGCAGGGATGTGACTTGCATCGTGGCACGCTGGCTTTAAGGGACCGAGTTTTGACGGTCGCATTGGCCTGCTGGCCCCTGCTTCGGCCAGTAAAGTGGTTCCATCGCTGCTCCATGTCTTGAATCCGATCGCGGAAGCCGAGTGACTGGATTAGCTTGGTATTGAAAGTCTTCATGGCAAGTAAAAGGACAGATGAACCCCTTGATCTTGATGATCTACCCGCCTTTGGACCGCGAGAGCAGATACTTGTGGATCTTGATGTTGTTGGGCTGATCGCAGGCATGAAGCTTCGCAGCCAACGTGAGGGGCGTCTCCCCCAGATGATCGGGACAATCGACATCAATCAGCTCCTCTCTCACAAGGCTTGCAACGGCGCGAAGGTCTCCGTAGATCACGCCAGGTGCAGGATGGTTTGGCCGCGGTGATTCTTCTCATTGATCTTGGCCCGAGGATCCCGCAAGAGCATTTCCAAAATCTCATACTGTTGATATTCTAAAGCCACTAGGAGTGGCTGCTGGAATTTTTGATCTTGACTGTAGAACTCAATGTCTTTGCGGCTGAGCAGCTGCCGTACGATTGAAACACTGCCCTGCGTGATGGCCATCGACAGCGCAGTCTGACCGTAAGCATTGCATAGAGAAGCACGAAGATTATCATACTCCAACAGGAGATCGACAGCCGCGCGATCCCCCGCTTGCACGGCAAGCATCAACGGCGTGTGTCTTCCATGTATCTTGTTGATATTCGTCGTGCACGTGTAGAGGTACCTTTGGAGCGCATTAGGTTTGGGGGGTTGTTGTCTCCAGGCAGGGCTAGGGTAGGATAAAGCAGGTGACATGGCGGTGGTGAAGATGGATGCATTAAATCAATTCGAGGGATGAGGTGTTGTTACAGTAGGTTGAGGAACGTGAAATGAAGGCCTTGGGAGTTTCATTTTATATGTTAGTAAAATGATTAACCTCTAGTAGAGAAATTAGAGTCCAAAGATTCGTCTTTCGTTCATAGCATTTCCGAGTCCAAATACCGCACCGACAAATGCAGATCGTGAATGTTGCTTTACAGTATTTATTTCCAGAGTGTGACATGCGTATCATTTCGCTGATGCTCCTCAACAAAAATGATGATGACAAGGCTTGGTAGCTTAGACCGTGAGACAAGTCGATGTAAAAAGGTAAAATCTTATCCTAGAATCTGGCCATGTGTTTCTGGGACCGTTTATGGCTTCATCTGGGATCAAAGGCTCTGGCCCCAGAAGCCAGGTACTATCTTCTGCGGGCGATTCTCTCATTTGACTGTCGCTATGGTATTAGTAGAGTTTCAATTCCAGTGCTGAGTCACAAAGCTATGATTGGCTGGGATTGAAGAAGACACAGAATATGTTCCGTTTACATAGCCAGTTTACACAGCCGGCTTGACGGAATGTTCAATTAACGTGTTACAATGGTAACAGAAAATTATGCTTCATGTGTCTCAATAAGACCCTAGTGGTCTAGTAATTAGTAGTTACCTATAAGACTATAGTTATCTAGTAATCCTTGCAACGGCGGGTTAGAGGCCAGAAGTGGCTCCTCACGTGACCCCGTTGTGTCACTTGTTCCTGGGGACTTTGGTTGGTCCTCATCTTCTTTCCTGAGGTGCGTCCCAAGTGGGTCCGTAACAGTATGTTGTGTTGAGGTGGCGGACCCTCGTTATGCGAGGGTCCGTAATAAATTGTAATTTATGAAAGGGGCCGGTTAAATAGAGAGTTGAATCGTGAGTCGTAAGTCACATGCATATTCAACAAGATAGACGAATAAGGGAAGGCATCCGCATGACTAATACCCGGATCGTGGAAAACGTGAAAAACAGGATTGAACATGTTATGTAGAGATTACAACTGTTGTATTTTGATCCAGCAACAGTTTAGGAAGCTTTTCGTGGTCTCTGGGAACGTCTCCCTGGCATAGGAGTATACGGTTGTGGTGAAAATTGAGTATCATCGGATGTGTCTTGCCAAATTAACTGGGTTTCCTCGTTGTCGTCATTTAGAGCATCAGTTTCTGGGGGTGTAAAGAGAATTCCACAGCGGGGACAAAAAGAATGAGTGGCCTGACAACTCCTATAACAGAGGGCTAGAGAGCTGGCAGGGAGCTGAATACGGAAGGCAAGGCAGGGCCGTGTTTCAACAGGAGCGGGCAACCGTGATAATTGACAAGCAGGGCACTGCAAAGGTTGAATAGTCGCAGACAATCATGGCAGGACAACACGTTAGCATGGTGGAGCCGTACCAAACCGAGATAGTAGATGAGTGTGACTTGCAGAGAGTACAGAAGCCACCTAATTCACGCGTGGTAATACATTGTAGAGCGTCAGGATAAAATGACGGTCAATGAGCAGCACATGAAGCAATCATCGAGCTAGAAGGTGCATATACATGCAGACAAAACCCTAGAACCCTAACGGCCAAGAGCAGCTAGGCTCAAAAAGGCAATACAAGGGCGAATGAGCAGCGTGCGTGGCAGTAGAGTTCCAACGTAGACAAGCTGCTTGGCTTTGCGGACGCGCACGCACAAGCACGTTGATTAGTTCCCTTTCTCTCACTACGTTCGTTTCAGGGCATTACGAATTATTAGATCAGCGGGGGAAATGTTTATTACCTGTAAGACAAGAACCTGTAACCTAAGGCCCCACGTCAGGTTTCACCCGAGTTTCTTGGTTGGTACTTCCATGGGCGGTGCAAGGAACCATGGCACCCAACCTAGTGAAGTCAAGTCTTGTACCATGGCACCCAACCTAGTGAAGTCAAGTCTTGTGTTGATTCGCGATATGATTAGCAGTGATGAACTAACTATCTCGCAAATGGCGGAAGCCGCTGGCTGCAGCAAGCGCGCCATTATCAGGATCCGGTCTAACCTTCGACTATTCGGTAGTGTCAAAGCTCCCCCTATCAAAGCTGGACGGCCACGGAGCATCACCCCGATTATGCTGGAAGCCCTATGTGACCATCTACTGGAAAAGCCGGATTTATACCTTCATGAGATGGAGCTCTTCTTTCTTGATGAATTTGATGTATCGGTACCAAAGTCCACGATCAGCGATGCCCTGCATCGCATAGGGTGGTCCAAGAAGACAGCACGTCAGAAAGCAAAAGAGCGCAACCCAGATTTACGGGATGACTACTGTCATCTAATCTCAGAATTCAACTCATACCACCTCGTCTACATTGATGAATCCGGGTGTGATAAACGAATAGGGATTAGAAGAACTGGCTGGTCTCCCCTCGGTACAACGCCCATTCAAGTCTCAAAATTCCATCGCGATCAACGATATCAGATCCTACCTGCATATACCCAAGACGGGATTCTACTTTCTCGTGTCTTCCAAGGAGCGACAGATACTTCTCTCTTTGAAGATTTCATCGAAGAGCTCCTCCATCACTGTAGAAAATACCCCGGGCCTAAGTCAGTTCTCGTCATGGACAATGCATCCTTCCATCGATCCGAGAGAATTGAGCAACTATGCTTTAATAAAGGAGTCAAACTAGTCTATTTGCCTCCATACTCGCCCGATCTGAACCCAATTGAAGAGTTCTTTGCAGAGCTAAAAGCCTTCATTCGGCGTCATTGGCAGTCTTACGCCGAGAATCCAGACCAGGGGTTTGATTGTTTCCTTGACTGGTGTGTTGACAAAGTTGGGACAAAGAAGCAGAGCGCAAGAGGTCATTTCAAGAATGCAGGTATTGATGTTGAAGATCTGCAATGAGAAAATGTAGTTCCGTTTACTACCTGAGATCTATATCGCGGCAAGTCTCGGTCCCAACAAACAACAGCGATTTACGACTCAAAGTTCGAGATATGGCTGTAGCCTATCTCTGGGGCCTCGTCTAGCTCTTCGGGGCCTGGCCACACATTGGCATTTCTCGAGAATCTGCGCTTCACCGAATCTGGCTTATCTCCGGCGTGTGTCGATTCAAGAAGTTCCCAGGAGTACTCATCGCTCGTATATCCATGGCATGCAGTGTGGGTTTTGTTGATAAGTTGTTGATCGTCCTTGTAACAGAAGGTTAAATGCCAGCCTTTCGGGTCCTCTCCAGTCTGGCCATTAATCGTTGTGGTTTTGTGATGTTTCGACCTGTTCGTCAGGCACATTAAAATTAGTTTCTATCGCAGCAAATAATCTTTAATGTCTCAAGCGCGTCTCTACCTGATCAATATTGCCCGCGGATGAAGTTTCATATCTCTGGCAGTCTGATATGCTAGAGCCACGACATCCCGCAAATCTTTCGGATTCTTTGGCATCTTGCCTTTGTAAAAATAATATTTGACCAGATTGACCGTAGACATGTTGGTAATAGAAGGATAAATGTGTGGAGATCTTTAAACGGTAAAGCAAGTGTATGCCAGAAAGAGCCAGGAAATGGTTTATAGCACAGTTCCTTAACGATATATAAATCTATCTATTGGGCCCTCGCTATATGCGCACGGTTCCTTTTTTCTCACCTGGAGAGTAACACCACAAAAATCCTTCGTATATGTCTCCTCCAAATTTAGCGCTGGAACGTAGCTCTTTGCGACAGTCAGAGCGGTCAGCGTCGGAGATAATTCCAGATGCAACCAAAGGCGCTAAGAACGGTCCAATCCACTTGCTTAAAGTCTTACTGCCGACTTGACGGTCATCTGGGGCGTCTAGTGAAACGCGCAGTGAAATAAGTAGCGCTTCGACGGTCGTCCTTTGCATCTGATTATGCCCAATCCAGCTTTCCATAAAGACACCATCAGATCTCAAAATAGAATATTACGTAAAAGTCCGATAGGGAGCTAATTTAAGTTCTTCATTTGCAGTACATTGGGGAAAAAATAAAACAAAGATCCAGCTGCAGAATCTCGACACCTTGGGCCCAAATATTAGTCATCGAGCGGTGTGGACACGTTCACTTTTGCTGGGCATGGTCGATAAGCTGGACGCCCGCCTGAGCAAATGTCTATTTCCACTTACGTCAATGTTCGACGATCCTTCACGCAGTTATGCAGTTCTGTCGTAATCCGGTTTCATGTTCGGAAGCAGTCATCGATGTCCACTTTCAGCCCCCTTAATGCAAAGATGCGCGGTGATACAGATAGAACCAGCAAACCCCGATCGTCGAGAATAGGACTTGGAAAGACACAGTACAGGCTGATTGAATTTGTCGAAGACCTCGAAAGATACAGACCTGGGGGATATCATCCCTTGAAAGTCGGGGACGACCTAAATAACGGCCGGTATCGACTTGTTGACAAACTTGGGTTCGGCGGATACTCGACGATATGGCTAGCCCGTGATTTGCAGATGGCCAGATATGTGGCGGTGAAGGTCATCACCGCTGATGCCAGTCTTAATGCGTCTGAGGCTAGTCTCCTATGTTCACTTGGAAACTCGCCATCTAGACCGGGACGAGAAACCATTCCACCCCTCATCGAGCAATTTTGGGCTATCGGTCCCAATGGAAAGCATAGATGTCTCGTCACTCTGCCGGCACGAATGAGTCTTTTTGATGCAAAAGAGGCTTCGTCTTTCGGTCTTTTTCGACCGAAGGTCGCGCAGTCGATTATTGCCCAACTCATCCGTGGGGTCGCGTTTCTTCACAGTGAAGATATTGTACACGGTGGTATGTGATACGCATGGATAATTGCAGCTGGATTGCACAACTGACAGCTTCAGACCTTCATCTAGGCAACATTCTAGTCCGATTTCCCAAAGCAATTGATCGTTTTCCCACGTCAGACCTATATGAAAGATTCGGAGAGCCTGAGCCAGAGGCTGTTCTCCGTATTGATGGAAATCCCTTGTCGGAGGGCGTACCAAACAATGTATACGTTCCCGGCTGGTTTGGCGCCTGTAGCGATGATATCATTCTAGGAGAAGAAAAGATCATCATTAGCGACTTTGGAGAATCTTTCAATCCTCACAAGACCCTCAGATTATCATCAAAGACCCTCCCTATCCTGCAGCCACCTGAGGCCAGATTCTCCGATAAGCCCCTCTCATTTGCCTCAGATATCTGGACACTTGCCTGTACTATCTGGGAAATTCTTGGCCAACGGCCTTTGTTTGAGGCTTTGTATCCTACTGCAGACCGTGTCACAGCAGAGCAAGTCGAGGTCATTGGTATTTTACCTCCTGAGTGGTGGAAAAATTGGAACAGAAGGTTGGAATGGTTCAATGAAGAGGGAGATTTGAATTTGAACCCAGACTCGTCTAGGGGTCAGGATGGCATGCGCCGGAGCTGGGAAGACAGGTTTGACGACTGCATACAGGATCCTCGCGCTGAGGCAGGCCTAGAGACCGTGACAGAGCAAGAGAAGGGGGCTTTCGAGACGATGCTTCGATCGATGCTAGTCTTTCAGCCGAACGAAAGAGCGACAGCACAGCAGGTATTGCACTCCGAATGGATGAAAGGCTGGGGTCAACCGGCGCTTGAAGAGAGCAGGGCACTATCAAACCCGTAATGAAAGTAAAATGAGAGATTGCGAAACAAAATTGACATTAATTCGCGACTAAAACAATCATGCCGGTGCCAACTGCTCTCTAATGACTATATATTGTAACGCCTGGAGAGTCATAAGTACTCTTCAAACTCATTCGTATCCCTGTTTCGCGTCACCCAACGGGCAATATCGCCAACAAATCGCCGGGCGGCTCCTGCTTTCACGCCGTTTTTTACAAAGAAATCCGCATCTTGATCGTCATGGATTTCTTTGAGATCCAGACAATTTTCAAGGGCCACATCACGAGCTTTCTGGATATTTTCCCTGAAGGTCTCACTGCTCACCCGTGACTGGTGCCAGGTGGCATATTCTTTGACGGCTATATCGAGAAGACCAGGAATATCAATTGGATCAGTTTGCTTAGGAGCTGGAATCGTACTTTCAGCTGCAGCAGTAGTTGTTGTAGGAATGGGCATTTGAGATGGAAGATGAAAGTGGACTGGGTGACATGATCCACATGTAGAGCTGTCCGAGCTTTTCTTCCGTCGTTCAAGCCGCTGACTCTCCTCGGCATAAAGCTGTTCACGAAGGCTATCGGGAATGTCATCATGTGTCTCGATAACCCCTCCCTGCTGCACGTATCTGGTGAGCATCTTCAAGTGGTTTGTGCGAAGTCTGTAATGTTTTTTCCCGTATGGATCCTGCCAGCAGTATTGTCCTTCGTGGCGGCAGGGAGGTCCAGGACAACGCATGATCCTATACACATCTCGCCAGACTTCATGACCCCCGGAAGCCTGCTCGGCATCCATCTCGGCGTCACGTTCCGTAATCATTCCCTTAGTGACAGATGATTTTCCTCTTTTTTCGCTTCTGGATGGAATTCGGCCATGATCATCTAGATAGTTAATGGTTATCTGAATTCGGAGTTTCTTCCCCAGACGGTAGAGATTGGCCCACTTCAGCAGCTGGTTCTCTACCGTGGTCCAATCAACACTAGCGCCTTCAAAGCGCTTGATAAGATCAGACTGGGAACGCTCATTTACAGACACCACTAGGTTGGTATCGTCTAGTCTCACCCGTCGGTTATGGGCTATCTTTCTCCGCAGAATCTTTTCAGCCGTGTCTTTTATCCGCTCCCAGTAAGACCTAGGCGGCAGAGCCAAGTCTTGTTCCGTGTCCTTTGCCACCACCCGGTTATTCAATTTTACCCTCCACTCGATCTGGTAATGCACTCCGTCATCCACCTCACCTTCTTGCATAAAATCCAGTGAACTGGACTGCGGGTTGTGCAACGGTGATGAACGTTCACCGAATATAAATGGTTCGCGGTCAGGGGATGAGCAGATTACAGATGGCGTCAATTCACGGCCAGGTGTAGGGGCATACGAGGGAGTCGGGTCCCGTAGATAAGGCAGGCGAGATTGGTAGATGTCATCATTATTGAAAGCAGCATAAGCCATTCCCTCCAAGCAGAAGATACTGCTGAGGAGCCTATGTATGGTGCCATCATATGTTAGCAAGAAACAAAGAGGCTGCCATCACGCATGGGGTAAGAGGGGTATGTGTCTGACAGGCTGAGAACGGTGATCAGCAGGATCATTGGTCTTCTGTCAGTCCGAATTTGGGAAGATCGGCCCGTGCAGTCAGGTTGTGGGGTCGTTAAGGTTCTAAGATTGCGGGTAGGGCGTTGGGGAAGAAAGCGTGAGTGTCCGAGGGGTAATCTGTTTTCGAATTCTACTGTATCAGGTTTCACGTCTCAAGACTAATAGCAGAGCAAGGATAAGTACGGGACAGTCTTCGGTCGCGCTCAAATCATCTCTTGTCGTGCCGAGGCTGAGTGATGGCCGGAATGTTAGACGTTTGCTTGGCCATGTAAAACTGTCGGCTCACGTAAACGGACGTATTTTATCGACCAATGGGGTGCGTTCTCGAATGTGTAACAGTCCGATTTACTATCTCTGCCCCTACCATGGGATTTTGTGAGTAAAGCTGACTAATATTAAGCTAATTACATAATAATCCATATCTCCACAGCGACACGCTGCCCAGGTCACATGATGACCCAGGGACACCGACACTTTCTACTGGTCTATTATAGTTTCCCTAACTATTCAAAATATACTAATAGAGAAAGATATCTAGAAAACCATCGAGGAAAGTATTATACGTACCAATTCACGTGGTTTATATATAAATACTAAGGACAGAAGCAGTCTAAAGATAATATTGTCTTGTACCAAAACCTCGCTCCTGCTATAATGATAGGTCTGAGTGCAGTAAAAGGTGCGGGCCAAGTGGGTCCGTAACACTGTAAAAGAAAGAAGTAAAACTGTATAGACTCTAGAAGTAAAACTATAATAGACCCGGCCCTATTTTCTTTTTCTCGTGGTAAGAATCTCACCCTAACTGTAATGGTGTCCATTACAGTCACCCCTATGGCTTAGGGCCTCTGCAGTCTGATACAAGAGAGCTCTCCTTTCTTGCGACCGGGATGAAGGGACAATGAGACTTGGCAATGGTCTAATATCTGGTGGAATGAACGTCATGCGTGCACCAATGCTTGTCCAGACTTCGTCGGAATAATATTGCTTCCAGCTATCTGAGTTTAGACCAAAAAGAACGTTGAAACTAGCCGAGCTAAGGCGCGACACAGAGACATCGAGGATTGAAGCTTCACTAGTCGAGTTTCCAGGATTTTCAGCGAATGATTGGATAGCAGCATGAACAATTTGGATCCAAAAATAGGCCTGAGTTTCCGAATATGGAGGAACAGCTGGGTTTGTCCCTCGAAGACGAATGGTCGTCACCTGCAACAACTCGAGTGCCTCCTTGATGACCTGACCTCGACGAGCACCTGATTTGAGAGTATCCTGGACAACAGAGAAGGCGTATCGAAGGAGCCGGTCGGGATCATTTGCCCGTACAAAAGGATGATCCTGATTTGATGCGGAAAGACCTGGGAGAGGCTTTTTGTCTGGAGGACACCATGATTCTCGGGCGGCTTTGCTGAAGATGTTTTCTTTGGTGTAGTATTGTATCCAAAGGCTGGTGTTCATCAGAGATGGTGTGTGGAGGAGAACACTCTGGAAGTCGGTCCAGGATGGGAGCTCAGTTGCATCAAGTTGATGGGACCTGTATTTGATAATAGCGGACTGTATTTGGGCCAGCCAAAATATTGTCATTGTTCTTGGAGTCCATTTATCAGTTTTCAATGTTGCACTTAGAGTAGGGTCACGGCCCATACCGATGTTCTGTGTTTCGAAAACTCTCAGGTTTCATCGTTTTCAGTCTCCTCAGATGGCAAAGGAAAATCTCTGCCATAACGAAAACATGTTCACCCTTCTGTAAAGACTCCAAGACAACAATATACCCTGCCTTGAGGTGACAGCGATGGTCCCACTCCAAGAGATTAGCGCCCAGAAAGGATTTCCAGAATTCCCGAGGGTCCATCGTATCTTTTGCACCTTCTTCCTCAATTAGAGCCCTAGGTTCTTCATTGGACATGTGACATTTCCACTGAGGCTGTGGTTTTTCCACGTGTTGCAGGATCTCTATTTCCTTCCCAGTCATCACCGAAAGCAAATCATCCATGACCCTTGTGACCCCTTCACCAGTCTTGGCACTCACAGGATAGCCAATGACTCTGCAATTGACAGGGTTATCGAGAATCCCATTTAACGTCCGATCGTAGACCTGCCGAAGATGCTCGATGTCTTGCGCGGGCAGACAGTCTTGCTTATTCAAAACAATCCAGATGATCCTATACCCAACCTCTCGCACTACTGCACCAACGCGAAAGAGTAGCTCAAGATTAAGGTCCAGGGATTCCTCTGATACAGTGCAATCATGGAAGAACAAAATAGAGGTCTCGGAGCTATGGAAGTATTGTGGCCAATTTGGGTCTCGAAAACAGCCCACTGATTATTTTTTAGCCCCAAAAGTATGTATGTAGGAGTGTAGACCTACTTCCAGTATCCCAAATCGAGAATGTATACTTTTTGTAGTCTATATGATAGAGCTGGTGTCCTAGAGTGGGAATCGTGTATAACGCCTTGCCGTTTATGAGTTGGGACAGGAATGTGGTTTTTCCAGAGCCTCCTTCCCCAATCAAGACAACTGGAAAGTCAGAGGGGCCTTTGAGCCATTTCATGACCTTTTCAATTGGATTGGCAAGCATTTCTTAGGATTTAGCGTGGATGAGCTAGGAAGGAGTTGACTGTGATGCGTAGGACTGCATGAGTCGGTTTATTTAAGTCGCGCTAGCCTATTTGGGACAGCACGATCTAGCTCTTTTGGGAACCCCTTTTGGTCTAATTGTGGCCGCGCTTTATTAGGCTAGTATTTTCTCATTGAAGGGACCGAGTAAGTGGGAGCAATAAGTAAAGTCTGGCTAATGATCACTTCCATGATCTGTGATAGTCAAGGGATTTCCATCGTTCGCAAGTATTTGTTCCAAAACATATCAGTTGTAGTTCAAAGGAAGATTGATTGTCTGTTTTTTTTTTTTTTTTTTTTGGTTCATTTGAGAGGGAAGAATAAGGCTATATATACAACGAGAAGATCAAGTTGATTTCCAATCAAGTTGACTCTTCGTGAACATACTTCGGGATTAATTCCGATGGTTCGGCTTGGTTCCTGATCTGCACCAGCCTCATATCACAACACTATCTCATTATGAGCCTTGCCGCCCAGAGAGCATAGTTATAGTGCTGGTGGAACTGTGAATAACATAAGTTAGGCCTACGCAGCCCTTCCGAAAGCAAACAGTGAAAGGTAGGAAAGGATAGAATAATTCAAGATCTCTCACGACAAAGCTGGCTAGCCCAACGGTGACGACTCGAAAATTTCGAAAAATGAGTCTCAATTCTTCATTCTCAGTTTCTTGCCACAAACAATCTCTAACAAATTATAGCTTCTACAACAGTTGAAATATGGCGCTGAAAGAAGTTGATCATAGGGAACTGCATACTATAGCTATAAAAATGCGCAGTATTATATTTTCACACGAATATTCTAGCACTTGTCAACTGATGAATCATTCCAAACTGTTGTTTTTCAGTCCAAAATTCAACTTAAAAAACGAGTCCTGCACCAAAGATTGAACAGACACATTCAACCATTTTCGATTTACTGAATCCGGACACACAAAAATATACATTTTTGGTATAGCATTATCTCAGAGCCATTAAATGTTCATGAAGTCTGTAGTCGAGTCCAAGTTGGCCCCCTACCCTAATTTCTTGATCAAGTCGACGTCTTACTTATCTATCATCAGAATGTTTCCATGCGGCAACGACATGATCAGTGGAGCTTCCATCGCATGTACCGAAAACAACATTGCTGCGCCTAAGGAACTTGACACAACTGCAGAACTACACTGGAATACTGCCGATGTGCCTTTGTCATTGATCATTCCCACGTTCAACCTGCCAACTCTGAGTGTACCTGCTGTCACTACTACATCCCATGCCGTTGGACAAGGTGCACGGACAGCGACGAATACCGCACCTAGTGCAACAATGGAGGGATCGGCTGGAAAAGCACTTTTGAATGTCTTACGACTCTGGAGACTCTGCTGGATTTTACTTCTCATCAAACATGTCTTTCTCTAGGATCAGTGATAGCTTGCGTTCTAGTATGAGCCATGCGGAAGTTTGGAAACACCGAGCATGCTATAGTGAGGAGTCCGAATCATATAGCGGCGAGCACAGATAATGTGAGAAAACTACAAAGTAACAAGCCCGGTGTCGATAATGCTTTGAAGAAATGCAGAGTCCTTAGAAAAGTAAGGCTTTCCATCAATTGATAATCAGTCAGGCATGTTATTCTATCAATGGATGGGAAAATGCGAGAAAACATACAGTACAGCAATATTCGAAATTGGCTTCCATGTTTTACACAGAGAAACTATCTCAAGCCCCACCGCCAAGACCATCTTGAAATGATCTAGGCTAAATGAAGTTAGACTACAAATAACCCCGGTGGGTCATTATGGTAAGGTAATTTACCTGACAAGACAATACACCCGAAATCCCCGCTTCATCGTTTCGAATTCGAATGGCTCAGAGAGAGCCGTCCACACCTTGCTCTAAAGATAGAATTGAACATTTTAGCGCCTGGAAAGTCACATGATAGTAAGACTCAGAATAAACCCCGGGGTTAGGCCCTTCCCTCTAGCCCAGAAACCAAAGCAGTGTCTACTTCGCATGTTAGCTATGGCATCTTTATCTATATCGTTTGGTGACGGAAACCGGGGCACGCAGGTGGGAATCAACAACGGATCGATCCATCTTCCCCCGGGTAGGTTTCACCAGACCCCTCCCAAGCTCAAATTGACTAATCATGTGATCCAGAGCGACCGGAAACTCCACCAGCCCCTCTATCAACCGTCCCGTTCCGCCGCGACCGAGACTTTGTCAGTCGCGACACACTGCTCGATGAGATCCATACAAAGATCTCAGTCCCCGGCTCCAGGATAGCTCTTGTGGGCGTTGGCGGTGTCGGGTGAGTGCAAGGAGGTTAGCGTGTGGGTTAGTACTGACAGTCGACAGGAAATCGCAACTTAGCATCGAATACACCTACCGAGTCCGATCCCAATCACCGGCCACCTGGGTTTTTTGGGTCCACGCAAGTAACGCGGCTCGGTTCGAGCAAAGTTTCCGGGATATCGCCGACCAGGCCAAAATTTTCGGGCGCAAGGATCCCACAGTGAATATATTTCAACTCGTCGAAAGCTGGCTTCAGGATGCCAAGAGAGGAAGGTGGTTACTAGTTCTTGATAATGTTGATGATGATGGGTTCCTTCGCCAGCCATCAACGATAGGCCAGCAGGGCCTGCAGATCGGCCAAATCAACAGCTCGGCAAAGCCCCTATTAGAATTTCTCCCCCGAAGCCCGAACGGATCAATGATTATAACAAGTCGGAACCAAGAGGTAGCGTTAAAAATTGTCGACCACGAGGACGTTATCAAAATAGAACCAATGAATAGGTCCGAGGCGCTAAAACTTGTTCATCAGAAGCTTGGACGACTGGCGGAAACTCCTGATATTCTAACGTTAGTGGAAGAACTCGAGTTTATGCCACTGGCCATTGTACAGGCAGCCGGCTACATCGTGCATCGAGCACCCCGCTGTTCAGTATCGCAGTACCTCGAGAAATTTCGGAAGAGTGATGGCGAAGCGATCAAGCTTCTTCATTATGAGGCGGGTCATCTCTATCGAGATTGGGAGGCGAAGAATTCGATTCTAGTCACATGGCAAATATCCTTCGACTATATTCGACGAATACGACCGTCCGCTGCTGATTTGCTCTCCCTCATGAGCTTTTTCGACCGACAGGGAGTTTCAGAGGACCTTCTCCGAGTTCAACGCGATACACATAACGAGGATTCGAGCTCGGAGGGGATCACCTTTGACCGCCGCGACGAGGATACGGATAGCACATCAGAATCTAACTCTGATGATGAGTTTAATGATGATATTACAACATTGAGAGACTTTTCATTCATTTCTATCAGCGAGAACATGACAGTGTTCACGATGCACCGGCTAGTGCAACTTACTGTGCGTATATGGCTGGAAACCAACGAACAAATTGAGCGATGGAAGGAGGAATTCATCACGAGCCTATACCAAAGGTTTCCGACCGGTGAATATGAAAATTGGGCACGATGCCGGTCGCTGTTTCCACATATAAAATCAGCGGTGTCACAACGACCAGGATCACAAGACTCTCTACAAAAATGGGCGACGCTACTTTATAGGGGAGCATGGTATGCTCAGGATACCGGGAAGATTGAGGAATCAAGAGATATGGCATCTAAATCAAGGAGGGAGCGGCTGTTAATATTTGGCTTAGAGGATAAACAGACCCTCAAAAGCACTGCGATGTTAGCGAGCGTATACGGGCTCGAGGGCCGATGGGAGGAGGCGGAGCAGCTCGACGTGCAGGTCATGGAGACGAGCAAGATAAAGCTCGGCGTGGACCATCCCTTCACGCTGACGAGCTTGAACAACGTGGCATCAACGTTCTGGAACCAGGGCAGATGGGAGGAGGCGGAGCAGCTCTTTATGCAGGTCATGGAGACTCGCAAGACGAAGCTCGGCGTGGACCATCCCTCTACGCTGACGAGCATGGCGAACCTGGCATCGACGTATAGGAACCAGGGCCGATGGGAGGAGGCGGAGCAGCTCTTTGTGCAGGTCATGGAGACTCGCAAGACGAAGCTCGGCGTGGACCATCCTGACACGCTGACGAGCATGGCCAACCTGGCATCGACGTATAGCCACCAGGGCCGATGGGAGGAGGCGGAGCAGCTCGAGGTGCAGGTCTTAAAGACGAGCAAGACGAAGCTCGGCGTGGACCATCCTGACACGCTAACGAGCATGGCCAACCTGGCATCGACGTATAGGAACCAGGGCCGATGGGACGAGGCGGAGCAGCTCGAGGTGCAGGTCTTGGAGACGACCAAGACGAAGCTCGGCGTGGACCATCCTGACACGCTGACGAGCATGAACAACCTGGCTTATACTCTAAGGTCACTAGGTCAATACACAGCCGCATTGCAGCTGATGGCTGAATGCGTTCAACTTTGCGACCAAAAATTAGGCCCACACCATCCGCATACTACATCTTCCAAGTCTGCTTTAGACGAATGGCGCGGGAAGGTTGACTCCCCGTCTTCCCAGCTCACTGAAACCCTGACGGACGCCAAAAAGGCCTCAATCCTAGGCAGTTCCATAGAAACCTCCGAGCCGGTTCATAGACCTGGCGGACATCGTAGGCGGGCAATATTCTTGCGCCTATTTGGCAAGAAGTAGGACTCTCCCGTGCTCTAGAGTGGGGCTTTGCCTAGTAATAGTTCAGAAAAACAAACCATTAAGCCAAAAAATCTGTAATCACGAAAATGAAAGCCTCATATGTCATTAAACATTAGATTACAATAACAATCTTTCATCAAGTAGCCCGCCCAGGAAATTGGCCTTGAGCTAAGCGAACAAAAACTCCAATCAACAATGCAAGCGCATGGAGATGAAAGGATGATTTCAGTCGACCTCAATCCAGACGCCAGACCTCTCAGACGTAGTCTAGGGAGATGGCTTATTGGCCTTGCGACCATGCTTGAATGCTATATTGCCAGTCCAGATGGTAGCAGAAACTATATTACCACGACAGTGGATTCGACAATTCTCCGGCTGCTAAATAAAATGGAGCTTGATGTAAGTTTTGACGACCAAGCCAAAGAATCTATTTAACATGAATAGGGATATGGCTACAAGATGTGCAGATATTCAGTTACTCAGACATTCATATCTAGTGGGGAAGTTTACTTGATTCCTCTCCATATTACTAAAGGGACCCCAGAGGTCTCAAACGAAGAGGGTGCTGGAATGTTTTTGCTAGGCCGTTATTTCATCTTGCGAGGAAACTTCAATATCTCCCCAGGGGGGGATTGCCTCATTGTGGAGAGAAGGCAAGCAAGTTCAACATGATCATTCAGAAAGGTATGGACTCTAGAAGGAATATAGGCGTGATTGGCCAAAGAGGCCATAGTTTACACAACAATGGAGGTTCTTGACGCTATAACCGATCTCGTCATCCATTTCTTCCCGCATTTCATTTCTGAAAGAGACATCACAGGAAGTCAATTGTTTCCATGTTCTACTATTTAATTTTTTTGAGGTCTACGCAAATCAAAATTCCAGTCCACAATACGGCTTCAAAACCAAGCTTGCCTTAATATATCGACTCCACATTCGAAGATGTATTTATCATCAACAAAGATCACCAAATACTGTATGAATACTTTACAAGGAAGCGCATATTGTAGTGAATTGGTAATAATCTAATTATATCAAAGGGTATACATCAATCATAAATTCATTAGAACTTAATGAGAGTACCATAAAATATATCAAGAAGTCTGTATTATAATTGAGATGGCCATTCAGGAGGAAATGGGGTACCAGAGGTTTCCTTTGTTTTGCGGAAAATTTATCTAATATGTAGACGTTGTCTTTTTGTGTGTAAATTATACCCTCAAGAGCGTTAAAAGTACCCGAAGACGTGCAAGGGATATCTCCATCCTCCGAATATATATGTCCATATGGGGAAGTCCATCATTGGATAAATTCTGCTTAGCTCGAAGAGTTATAGCTAAGAGGTGGATTTGCAAATCACCAGAGCATATATAAAGCGTTACTGATCTGGATTTTTTTCCACTGGTCTTCGCCGTCCGTTACAGTGTCAATTGAGGAGCTCAAGGCTGTGACTAAACAGTTGATAGAAATTATCAAGCGATTCTGTACGTTTATCATTCACAAGACGTTGAGTTCACTTGGTTAACCGCTTAGATGACGACATGTATCGCCCATATTTTCAAATATCCTACCATGATCTGGCCTGCTACATACTTCATGCGGGTGGGTACAGAGGAGACGGCGACCTTACCATGACCTTGCTGCGCAGCGCTCTCAACAAATGCATTGGATGGGCACCCAAAGAGTTGCTGGATACCCTGACGGGAACTTACACCGAAGAAGCGGACTTACAATGCATGGTCTCACTCTATAGTCTTTTGTGGCTGGGTTTTACGCCTCCTGATAAGCAATGTCTGCCAATCAATAAGATATTATATTCAGGAAGCGGAGAGGTGCTTCAAAGTCACATCTTGAATAGTCTGGATGATGACGGACGCTCTCAGCTGCAGGTTCAGCTGGACAGGTTATCTACTCTTGTGCAGAGGGAATAGGACCAACTGCAGCCATGTATTCCTTTATATGTGCCTTGTTTAGTCAATCATGATACGCTAATTACATGCTGCATAGCTCTAGATTACTACAATGAATCTGGGAAAAGCGATAGTTTCAAGTCTAGATACTTCGATCACTGCTTTCCCTTCTATCTTAATATTCTACAAATCATGTAAGTTGAAGTCAGAGCGAATGATTTGATGCCTTCTTATATATACTACCATACAAGACGAAGCGATTCCATTGGGAAGTAAAGCTACCCAGCCTGCAGAAGGGGAAAATATAGAGCTAGACTTCCCGTGGAAGAAAGACAGAAGAAAGGTATATGAGATCTCCTTTAACGGAATACCTTCCAAAATCATTGCGGAACGAGAATGTAATGGTCCAGGCATCATCGATGATCTGCTTGATCCGCTCGTTGTAGGTCGTGTAGGTACGTTCGCAGTATTTCGACTCGATACGCTCGCAGTATGTCGCATCGATACGCTCTAGCACACATTTATTGACTCGCCTTTTCGCAACGAGGTCCATATCAATAGGGCTGAGGTCTGGCCAGACCCAGAAATACTCTTGGAGCATTAAGGCGATCTTGGTCAATGCACCTTCGCTCGACATTCTGAAAAATTCAGAACGAAGATTGCAGGACATTATCGCGTACAGTAGGCGGCCAAGGTCTGAATTGGGGGCGTTTTTGGCGGATATTTCGATTATCACAATGTAGATTTGAGCAGGGTTGTACCAAGGTTGTGGTTGTGCGGGGAACTTTTGTTCGCAGCGTAAACGAATGGCCATATCGATTGGTATAATGGCCAAGCCATCTTTCGTCAGCTCGATTACTGAGTGAAAATTAGCCTGCAATATCTAGAGCTCTCACTAGATCAGGCTCTTACCGTTACCGAAATCCTTTTCGATTTCTGGGTGTCGAATTCGTAGATTCCACTCGATTTCAGGCCCAGGGTTCATCGTTTCAGGAGAACGATCGGGAGATCGGTCAGGAGATAGCGCAGGACTAAAGGAAGAAGGATAGAGAAATGGTTACTCCAGTGGTCTAAGTATCATTTATAGCTAAATACTGCATGGGTAAATTTGCCTTATCTGAGAGCAGCGTTGCAGTCGCAAAACACGAGATTGTCTCGAGTCTACTTCAATTCGCAGTCCATCTTCCGCCCTGACTTGCATCTGCCTAGACTCTCTATAATAATTTCGAAAAACTATTTAAGATCCACGTACTCGCGGCTTCTATATATTTTATCACGAATTACTCTAAGGCAGTCCGCAACTCAAGTCCCCCTGTTTTCAATCCTACTATTCTATTGAAATTGAGGCAGACGATTCGATTGCTTCTTATGCCAACTCTACGATGACAGACGAGCAATGGCTAGACGACTGCATACGTTCCCCCACAGCATCAACACTACAACTCGAGGATAGGGCAATATTGGTTGATGAAGGTACTTTGAGGGTCACCATTGTTGAGGATACAACTAATTCTTAGTAGATGACGTATCAGTACAAATTACGTTCAAAAACATACAACAGTTTATCCCCGTCCCAAAGTCACTGGTTCAGGAGTGTGGGAAACTATGGGGAAACGACAGAACAATATTCATGGCATTTGAGATCATGATTGCTATGCACAACATTTCACCAATGGATATATTCAGATCTGATACCCATCCAATCTGGGTTGCTATGGAAGAATATCTCAGTATTCCGGATCTTGTCGGCCCCGATTGTTTCAAAATCACGAAGATCACTCTGCTTCTTGGGGAAGAAATCAGCCTGCCAGTTCCCTACGGTTTTGATCATCCACCGAGAGTCATGAAAGGCTACATCAAATCCATCAGACCTGCCATTAGTAACACTCTCTCCGTGTTAACTGGACTTTGGATTATCGAGGCCTACACAGTTGGCTTTCACGGCATTCGGACCTACGAGGGCTATCTTGATGAGCTTCTGGCATGGTTAGCGTAGGGGTATTCAATTGTTTCCACGTTCTATTATTTGATTTTTGAGGTCCACGCGAATCAAGATTCCAATCCACAATACGCCTTAAAAGCCAAGCTTGCCTTAATATATTGACTCCACACTCAAAGTTGTAGCAAGTTCTTTATTCATCATCAACATGGACAACTAAACACTATATAATCAAATACTTTCTAATGAAGCATTCACTGTAGTGAATTGGTAATGATCTAAATACATCAAATTGCATACATCAATCATAGATCAAGCAACCTGTCTGAGACCCCTTAGTTTTATGAGGGCCAACTCACTTTAATCTACATTTCCTGGGTCCTTTAGTTAACGTCTTTCGGTCGATGAAACAAATCTTCCATATCAAATTCATCGCGATGAAATGAAGAGAGCATGATTTAAGCTTTCTGCAAGCGACGGCTACAGTACAATGCTGGCGACAGTATCTTGATATTTATCTAGCAATCAACCATCCTGCTCTTGTGCAGGTTGCCAATGGCTCTGGGATCTAGCTTGCTCCTGGGGCTCTTGAACCACGTTCTGGAGCAGTTGTGGTTGATCCCAAGGCGAGACGTTTGCTTTTGGGGATCTAGTTCAAGTACTTTGGGAACAAGCATCTTGGTTTCACGCGCAGGCCCTTTGTCTGTCAGGTATTGAGTATTTGCATAACCTCGGGCGTTTTCATTTTGACCAGATGATGTGCCCTTTGGCCAGCTATGGTAGTAGACAATCCTAAACGCTCTACGATCCGTCACATGGCCCGTACGGAGCAAGCGACAACTGATCCTGGGATCTTAATCGGTGGTCCTGCGAAATGAGTGAACTGTTTTTGGGAACGTAACCAGTGGGCTTGGGAGCTAGGTTGCTCTTGGGGCTCCTGAGTTGTGTTCTAGAACCGTCGTCGATGGTCTTGGGCCTTAAAAGTTCATCCAGGGATCCAAGTAGGGTATTACGCAACATGCACTCGAACATTTCTGAGCCGAGCGAATCAAGTCGCGGGTCTGAGCCTTACCGGACTTGTAGTACGCCAGGCTTAATATGCACATAAGAGGAAGCACATCTCGCGTTGTGAGACCCTAGCGATCAAATTCGCTGATTGCTAATCATCATTTCCAACATATCCAGTACAGTAAGACACCACTACACTCTCATGCTTTCCGACCTTCCGACAGAGCTTCTGCTCGAGATTTGCGAGTCTCTACAAAAAAAAGACATTCTAGCGCTACGCCCGGTCTGCCAACGTTTTTATTCGCTTTTCACCGATGTGCTCTTCCGACGCATCGTGTGTGATGAAGTCCCACTGCTTTTTCGTGCCGTGGAGGCCCAGAGACTGGATATTGCAGCGCTGCTCATCGAAAAATACCACGTCGATTTCAATTGTCTGCACGCTGGCAAGAATGCGCTTCTTCTCGTTATTGACCTGCGATACCCACAGGCTGTAGATCTGATCTTGCAATATCGGCCCGACGTTCGCTATTGCTGCGATTTTGGAGGTCGAGGGCCCCTGTCACTTGCAGTGATCAGCGGCAATGCTGCTAGCGTGGAGCGGATTCTCCAGTCTCAGGAGATTGATGTCAACGATCTATGCTCGGACGGACTGTCTGCCCTAGTATACGCGCTGAAGCATCGCGAGTACTATTCCCTCCAACTTCTACTTGCAGATTCTCGAGTGAAAGTTAATCTCGCAGATTCTCTTGGCTGGTCACCACTGCAAGCTGCGGTTCTCGAAGGAGATCATATAGCAGCCCAGATGCTGGTGCGACATGCAGAAATCGATATCAACCATCAGAGCTCCCACAATGATGCGCCCCTCCTGTTGGCTGTGAAAAGGCTTAATGGCCAGCAATCTGTTCTCATGGTCGACTCTCCTCTTTTGCATTCGAAATTAGATGTGAACATATCGGACCCCAACGGGCAAACGGCTCTATGGCACGCTGTCAACCGTGGCCACTATGACCTTGTGAAATTACTTCTACGTCAAAGCGATTTGAGATTGAACGATCCTGATCGATATGGGGTGACGCCATTAGCCCGAGCTGCCGAGAGGCCTGTTCTGTCCGTCCTTGAATTGCTATTGCAACAGCGGCAGATGTGTGCAATTGTGGGTCACACGAAGCCACATCAGGTAGCCAAACAGCGCAGTCTGCAAGACCGGGAACTTTGACCTGACTATTACTGCAAAGTTAGTTACCGAGCGCTACTGCCGATGGATCAACTTCAGCCGGCAAGGTTTCATCGACCTTTTCATCGCAGGCATCACTGCTTGGCCATATCACTCGTTCTGAAGTCTGGGAGATCTCATGCAAGGTGTTATCATTTTACGCCGTCTCTCGCAGTATCGATGACATTACGGTCCTGCTCGAGCCGTACATTTGGAATGGATCTCTTGCGATTCCCATCGGTTGCTGGCCCGAATGCCACCATGGTGTCCAAACGTCCCCTCCCATCCGATCACGTGACATATGGCTCCAGCCTCGATGCTGCTGAAGAGAAGTCGATTTGAGCTTCCAAAAATCCATGCCCAGTTTATTGGCGAATCGAGAAATTCAGAGAATTTGGTACTCGGTGATATCAGTTTCACCCAGAGATTCACTCTGCTAGGTGTGGGGATCTATGAAGAGACAGCCATGACCATGTAGGGCTATCGTCGAACTACCATGGCAGAACAAAGACGGGGTCTTGCGTATTGGTGCTGGATGTCTAGCTCAGGTGCTTGTCATCCAGGTGAGACTTGCACCACGGTGGTGTGGTGTGAGATGCGAGCGCGGTGTCCACGTTGCATTGTTCTGTCGTCCCTGTACCATCTGCGCCGTCGCGTACATCCCTGCATGACTGCGTGAAGTCATCTTTGCTCAATCCAGGCCCTTGTTAGCGCGCCTGTTTGCTCTCTTTCCAAGCACAGCAAGCTCTGCTGACTTGTCCTAGAGAATGCCATCGTGCTGATCGCGGGTGATGCGTCATGACACAACGCTTGTTGGCCACCTCATCGATCACACATATCAGCTGTCGCACAGTCATGTCCCTCATCAGACAAACAGCTGTGCGTCGCCGCGTCGCTGATGTCTCGCAACGCATGATCACCACAAGGCCTTGACTTGCCTTTTTAGGCGCATCTTATGTCCCGCGTGAGCTGCTGACTGACGAAGAGTGACTATGAGGTTCTTTCGTAGTATTTCAGGTGCTTTCATCTAGTTTGTAGACGAGTGCTCGTCTCTAGGCTGGTGATGCAGGGCTCATTACGCTTTCGTCCTGCACGCTGCTTTTTTAACCGCCTGCGTAGTTCCCTGATAAAACCTCGATGATGTATCCTTTTCGTAGACTGATGACTGCTATCCGTAACACAAATGCATTATAACATGCTGTTCGATGGTCGTACTATGGTAGCCTCGTCAGGGTGCGGGGCAGGGGAAGCTCGCAACGTACGTGTACAGTGTCATTTCATCGGATATACGGCTAACGCACAGTATCTGATTTAACATGGAACTTACGTTTGTGACCGTGGTGTTGCTGAGCATTCGCTTCATATTTGTATCATTCTTGGTTGACTTCGAATTGACTTAATCCGATCTGTTTCATGATGTAGCGTAGTCGTACTTTGAAGAGACCGGTGTAGACTTCATTGGTCATGTTTTTGTGAGGCCACTAGAGAGATACAAGTTACGCGTGCGACTTTGATGTCATAGCATCTATAGTGCAAAAGGGAACGTGTTGTTTATTTATTAGAAAAAAGATGTGCAGCTACAATTTATATATAACAAGAAGCTTAAGCCAACTGGATTCTTGGTGTAGATACTTCCGAGTTAATGACATGATCTAGCTTTCTTTTTGGTACTTAATGACCAGCCGTATGCCACGACTCTATTTTCTGTCACGAAGGACTTGACAACGGCTGTTGGCCGGAGAGAAATACAGTGATGTGGGTGGGGTCTTCCCCCAAATCAAACGAAGTGTGCGAGGGGTGACACACCGCCTGGGCGACTCATTCCGTTTGTCAACGCGTCCAGACTCAGCATTGACAGTCTGCTCATCGACGCGTCGACACTGTCACCATCCACGAATTGTCTTCGAGCTGGTCACTGGTTTTCGAGCAGGCTCAAGTGTTTACCAATGCTGATTCAACTGTAAACAGACGCTTAGTCAACTGTTGATGAAAACAGACTCAACTGTTTGCCAAAGCCGGTCAACTGTTGATGAAAACCGGCTCAACTGTTTACGCACGCTCAGTCAACTGTTTATGAATACAGACTCAAATATTTATCAAAGCAGGCTCCAATGCTCACCAACACTGGGTCAACCGTTTACGAATGGTCATTCAACTGTTTATCAGAGCAGGCTTGACTGTTCACAAAGCAGGTCAACTGTTTACGGACGCTAAGTCAACTGTTCACGAATGCTCAGTCAACTGTTCACGAATGCTCAGTCAACTGTTTACCAGAGCAGGTCACCTGTTGATGAAAACAGGGTCGACTGTTTATCAAAGCAGGCTCCAATGCTCATCAACACTGGGTCAACTGTATTCGAATGGTCATTTAACTGTTTATGAAAACAGATTCAACAGTTTACCAGAGCCGGTCATGTGGTTATGAACGCTCAGTCAACTGTTTACCAACGCTCATTCAACTGTTTACCAGCACAGGCTCAACTGTTTACGAATGGTCATTCAACTGATTATGGACGCTCAGTCAACTGTTTATGAAAACATGGTCCATTGTTTATCAAAGCAGGCTCCAATGTTCACCAACACTGGATCAACTGTTTAAGCGCGCTCATTCAACGGTTCACGAATGCTCAGTCAACTATCACCATAACAGGCTCGACTGTTTACGAAAACAAGCTGAAATGTCTACCAAAGCTGGGCAACTGTTCACCGAAGCAGGCTGGTCGCCACGTTGGATTATTGATCACCGCATCTACCCCGTCACCACCAACGCCAACCTCAACAGTCATCTCAGTTTTCCTGACCTGTGCGATAGACGTGGATAATGCTTCCTTGCCCAAGTCTGATGGTCTTTGACCGAGCTGACCAGCCTGTACGTGTGTGTATACATCCTCTACGTGTGTATATACATCTTGGGAAATCAGGTTCTGGACGTAATGCTACTATGCACGGCGGAATCAGTAACAGCAATATGCTGGGTTGATTAATTCTCTATTCAATGCTATCTTGAAGTTGAAACAGGCATCGGAATAGGCTCTCATGGCCATGCCAGACTCTTCGCCCGTGGCCCGAGCCTACAAAGGTGAAACATCAATGTTGGCGCAGGTCTTGGCTTCTTCAATTGCAGAGCGAGCATTGAATACTGGTCCCTAGCACCACGTAGAGGTGCCTGCACTTGGCTAGAGTTCCTTGGTGTCGCAGCGTCCCCCTGCGGAGCACGATTTGATCACGCAGAGCCTATCCTGCGAGGAACAGTTGGTATCGCAGAGCCTATCCTGCGGGGAACAGTTGGTGTCGCAGAGCCTATCCTGCGGGGAACAGTTGATCACGCAGAGCCCATCCTGCGGGGAACAGTTGATCACGCAGAGCCCATCCTGCGGGGAACAGTTGATCACGCAGAGCCCATCCTGCGGGGAACAGTTGATCACGCAGAGCCCATCCTGCGAGGAACAGTTGGTATCGCAGAGCCTATCCTGCGGGGAACAGTTGCTAACGCAGAGCCCATCCTGCGGGGTAGTCTTGATCTCGCAGCACCCCCCTGCGAGGCATATTGATAACGCAGACCTATCCTGCGGGGTGGACTTGTTCTCGCAGCGCCCTCCTGCGAGGCATATTGATAACGCAGACCTATCCTGCGGGGTAGTCTTGATCTCGCAGCACCCCCCTGCGAGGCATATTGATAACGCAGACCTATCCTGCGGGGCGGACTTGTTCTCACAGCGCCCTCCTGCGAGGCATATTGATGACGCAGACCTATCCTGCGGGGTGGACTTGTTCTCACAGCGCCCTCCTGCGAGGCATATTGATAACGCAGACCTATCCTGCGGGGTGGACTTGTTCTCGCAGCGCCCTCCTGCGAGGCATATTGATAATGCAGACCTATCCTGCGGGGTGGACTTGTTCTCGCAGCGCCCTCCTACGAGGCATATTGATAACGCAGACCTATCCTGCGAAGCATGTTTGATAACGCAGAGCTTGTACAGCGGAGTCGTGGCCATGGTGCCTCTCGAGCCTGCAGACAAGAGATGGAAACCATGACACACGGGAGTGTGAGGAGGAAAGTCCTGATTTATTTTGGGCCGGAAATCTCGCGCCTTTTATGTCAAGTCGGCTACGTCTCTTCACAGATACCCCCTGCGCAAATTCATAGCAACGGCCACTGATTTGGGAGGGCATTGGAAAAGTTACTTGGAAATCTTTGGCCAGAAGACGTACCTTCAATGGATCCGTGGTTGGTCTCATGTTGCCAGGGGGACCAGCCCTTGGTTCCATCAAATCAATCATCTAGACTGACCTTTTCCTGCGGTGGGTTACAATGGCGACTGGGTACCAGAATTGATGAAATGGAAACCATGGATACGATCGCTGTGGCAATGAAACTGCGTTGCATTGCAAGTTGCGACAGATGTATTACAATACAATATTCAAAGAGGGCTAAACGCAATGGCCATGCAAGTGCAGTCATGGGTACTGTACTATTGCCATTAGTGTCGCGCATCGATCATGAGCAGCTGCAGCGCACGTTGTCCTTGTTTTCGCCAGACTCTGAGAAACCAAACAGCGGTGTTCAGCAAGATGCACGAAGGACTGGACCTTAGACCAACCCACGTGCTATTTAAGGTTTAAGGTGCCGGCCGATCATTTCGATCTCGCCGTCCCACTTTCCACCTCTCATATGCACTTTCTTCCTGACAATGCTTTGGCCATTGGTAAACTCCTGATGAGAAGGGAAACTTCTGATAAGGTCAATCAATTGCTACGAATACTACAAAGTATCGTCTTGTTCATCTCTGTTATCGACGCGCGTGGCAGGGCAAACTTGAGAGTTCAGGA